AATAATAAGAATTGACAACAATCAGAACAGCAGTAACAATAATGATGATCGAAAAATACAGATTAAGAAATGTAATGGAATGCTTAAGTCATATTTAAGATGCATCTTACTTGTTATATCATGCTCCTCTGACACGAATACACTAGTTGATTCGAATACAATGTTCAATTCGTTATATGAAATATTCGGTGAAGAAATAGTTAAACGAAAATGCATAATTATATTAACACATTTAGATCTTCTGGCTGAAGAAGATGGTAAAACAATGGATCAATATTTACTTGAAAATCCGCATCTACAGGAATTAGTTGAACGATGCAACGGTCATTGTTTGGACGGTCGTAAATTACCACTAGATGACATAAGATGCAATGAGTTTGTCAAAAATTTAATTGACGTAACTGTTCAATTGCTCTGAATTACGCTTTCTTCAAATAAAATCCTTATTGTTCATCGTGCATACTGCATAAAAAATTAACCTTCATTTAGTAAAGAGAATGTCGTAAAGTACTGATGGTTCGTCAAACATTTCTGTGGGTGAGTGAAAGATGAGCACGAAGAAACTTGAGCACGGAAATATGATCACGGGAATGTTGAGCAGTAGGAAATATGCTCACAGATTTACAGTTTACCCATTAAATTTTTTGTATCATAAACAGTTGAAAAAATTTAAGAGAAAGTTAATTTAATCCATTTATTCAGTATACTATTATATGAAATATTAAATTTTTTATTAGATGATTAACAAAGAAAGAAGCATTTATTTTGTAAGCAAATATTATGTGTAATATTATTTAGTTGCATGAGAATATCATCATATGGATGCAATAAAAGATTTAAAAGACGTCGTTCAAACCGTTCATTTGTTTTACTTTTATGTTTTGGTGCTTCACCACTATTTATATGAACAATATCAGCGTGTGTTGCATGTTCTTCATGAATTAATTTTTGTAAAAATGACCAATGCGTAGGATGTGCGCATTGAATACACATCCTATACGACGATGCCATGCTTCTACAGAATTATTTGTACGCATGGATAATTGTGTTGTCCTTGTATGCATATTCCAAAATTCAATACTAAATGTTGGTTGACATCGTGTATTGTTAGGGCGAAGTCGTCCAATATATGTATCTTCAAAATAATTTAAAATATCTTGGTAATCATCATCAAGATCTAATGCAAGACGTGAATATGCATGTAATACATCACAAGGTGGAATAAAAGCTAACTCAGCTATTTTATTAATATTATGAGCAAATTTAACATCTTCTTGATAACAATTCTGATAACCTAATGTCTAATATACAAAAAACAAAAGTTATACATTGAAGAGCGAACATATTCTATTCGAACGCATTTTTATACTAAATTACTTCAATGTTACCTGAAGTTGTCGATGAAGATTTTGACGAAAATGGAAATAACAACCAGATAATAATATATTAACAAAACTACTGTCATATACATTAATACATGCCTTTTCGAAATCAAGTAAAATAGAATCAGGAAACCAGCATGGAGCAAATTCTACTATTTCATTTATAAGACGTTGATACATATCACTATTTTTACGACTTCGTAATGAATAGACAACTGGTACAACATGTCCCAAGATCGATGGCATGTACAACATATAATTGATAAAAAATCTCAGGAACAACCTAAACATAGGAATATTTACTTTTACTTCACTCAGCTGAAATTTTCGCCGAAACCCAAGAAATATAATGTAAAATAACAATGTAAAATATCTAATTGTTCAGAACTGGCAAATATTAACATTCGATCTGGTCCTGTTGAAAAGGAAAATTAATTATTAAGATAACAATTCTATTAATGAAATGAAAAATTCTTAGACATAATTGTATGGTGGCATTACGTGGTCCAGTATCACAACGTAAAAATTTATCACCACGAGAAGTTACGGTTAAAGCTGTTGGAACATTTGGAAAATCAGGCTCATTTGGGGCTGATGGAAGCTTTTTATCTTGACGTAACATTCTAATGCGACGTTTAATATTATCACGTGATGGTAAACGAGCTAATGCTTCGTTCGACATTGCGATACAACAATGTGTTATAATTAAATCAGGCGTTTCCTGTGTATTCATTGTACGATACCAAAGATCTTCATTAAACTTTCGAAGTTCACCTGTAATACCATTACTTTTGCATGTATGATCAGAAGGTGGAGTTATAACATTATTGGTAATATTACACGTATGAAGACGAGCATGACATTAATGAGAATTATAATATATACAACGCCAATATATTTTATTTTCCGTAAATCCATCTTTTATATACGAAAAACCTTGGAGTTCAAGACGAGGTTTTTGTTTAGTAGTACATGATACTGATGTAGATGTTACTGTAGACATATTTTTTTCAAAATGAGAAAGTGAGTTGAGAAGTGAAAGTGAATTGCGAAAAAAGTTATGAATATAATATAATAGTATATTGAATTTTTATCAATTATCCCAATTAATAATATATTCATTAAATTGTTAGCAACTC